TGCATGCCTTCCCACAGGGCCATGGTGAGGCTCTCATGATGTGGCTTCCACTGAAGGGCCGTGGTTATTAGACCACTACCTGTGGGGAGCGGGAGCAGAGGAAAGCCGCTCTCAGGGAAGTTCTGTGTGATTTTACTTGTCTAAAGGCTGTGGGTCAGAGAAGCCACCTGAGTTCTGCAGCACAGCATGGTTCAAATTGCTTTCATTTTTTATTTTGATAATTTAGTTAAATATAGAGGCAAAGAATCTATCCCAACTTACAGCGGAGAGGACGGGTAAGAGTAGGAGCAGATGAGTAAAGCTGTTCCCACTGGTGAAGGACCTCGCGTTGCTCCAGCAGGCAGAAAGCCAGAACTCGGGTGGGGGGCACAGAGCAAGCACAGGTCCTCCTCCTGTGCTCCCCTGTGTCTCTGCTCTCATCATGTCCCCCTGGCCACTTGCAAGTCACAGGCCTTTGTCTCTCTGGGCCAGGTCATTGTAACCTTTTAGTTGGGGGGCCTCAAGCCTCAACCCAACAATGTAATGACAGTATCTTCCTGAAAGGGAGAGAGAGAGTGTGCATGAGTGAGCTCCCTGGTGTCCCTTTCATAAGGGCACTAATCCCATCATGGGAGCCCCACCCTTGTGACCTCATCTAACCCTAATTACCTCCCAAAGGCCCCATCTCCACATACCATCACTTTGAGGGTTGGGGCTTCAACTTAAGAATTTGGGGGGTGGGGGAGACACACTCAGTCCATATCAAATCATATTACATGTGTTCTTTTGTGTTTTGCTTCTTTGGTGTAACATTATGTTACTCAGATTTATTTACATTGCTCCTGGTAACTATAGTTTGCCTACTTTCATTGATGAATAACATGCCACCATATATTTGTCTTCTTGTGGAAACTCCTCCATTGTGAACAAAGCTGTGTAGACAATCTCGTGCAGGTACACTAGAGCACATGTGCCCACATTCTCCACCTGGAAGTGGAGCTGCTGAATCATAGGGTGTGCAGATCCAGGATTGTAGTATAGAAATAATCTGCATTTGCTAGATAAGCCCTCTGGTTGAGAATGTTTCTCTGCATCTTACAGAACTGTCTGAAGTGCTCTGGACCATGGTGATGGACATTGGCCTTCGCATTCGAGGCTGGGGAGGACTCATTGGGGTCTTTATCATCTTTGCCGTATTTGCTGTCCTGACAGTAGCCATCCTCCTGATCATGGAGGGCCTCTCTGCTTTCCTGCACGCCCTGCGACTGCACTGGTAAGGATGGTGCTCTAGAGGCTCTGGGGGCTCTAGGGAAGGTCACCTGTTGGTGTAATATTAAATGATGTAATATATGCACACATGTATACATATATAATGGCTGCCCTATAAAATGTTAGTTCCCGTTTACTCCTTCTCTTTTAAGTGTTCGTTTAAGGGACATCTCCAAGTATTGATAAGGGGACAGATCTGAAATAGGCTCACAGACGGCAGCTGAGCGAATGTGGGATGTGTGGCCCTTCGTGCTGAGCACAAGAGTTACATCAGTAGAACAGGCAACTAAACTCTCCAGAAAGTGGAAACAAGGAGGGTGCCCACGGGGAGGAGGGCGCTCGCAGGAGGCCTTTGACGTTCTCAGATGTGTCCAGAGACTGTCGGCTGTCACTACGTTTACAAACATGGAAACATTTGTTTAGGCTTCTGCTTTTCTCCCAAGTGCCTTTTCAACCACGAGTTTCGAGTGTGCCACGCGTGCCCTGAAACCACACAGACCGTCTTCAGCTTCACTGATGCTCTCGCTCCCTCTGTGGCCATTGTTCCTAAAGAAAAGTTTCCACACTCCACATATTGAGTTGAGAGAATCACAGCATCCCCTGCCTCAGGTTATAGCACCATTTCTTCCAGTGTCATTAAGGAAATGAGCTCTGCAACAGAATAGAACACAAACAAGGATGCATGGTATCTGTTCTATAAGTTATGAAAATATAAGTCACGGTGCTGGTGGTTCTGCAGTAGTGTAAGCCCCGCAATTTAAGATCAGGATGGAAATGTAAAACCGTGTATAACCCGTGGAGCACTCTCTCCTCCTAGCTCGTCAGACATTGCTGCACTGTCAGGGCTTCTTCGTTTGTGGGGCGCTGAGGGGAGAGCCTTTATGCTGTGATCTATGAGGCCGCTAGCAGAGGCCTGGAGGCAGTGGGGCGGGAGGGGAAGGGGAAGGTGTAAGAGGGAGGGAGAGAAGGGTTTAAAAAGCCGCAGGGCTCCGTGGCAGCCTGGGTGCCTCCCCTGGCACGCCTTTCTCACTCTGTGCTTGATTGTACAGATGCTCTGCTTCTTCCTTCCAGCTGCCAGCCTCTAGCTTACATGTTTAATCCCACTTTTTCTTGCCCCCCAACAACAGGGTGGAGTTCCAGAACAAGTTCTACGTCGGGGCTGGTTACAAGTTTTGTCCATTCTCCTTTAAACGCATCCTGGATGGGACAGCCGAGGAGTAGCTGCAGGTCCAGCGGCGGCCGCCGCCTTCTGCTGCGGTCTTTGTGTCAGTGAAAGAAGTTCAGTCTCGTCTCTAATGTCGGCCTGTGCAAGGCGGTCAATGGAATGATTGTTCTTGGCTAACTGGAGGTAGCAAGCTCTGCATTATATACTTATAAGCCTTGGGATTTGATATGACTTAGCCATGTCACACAGGAACCGCATTGGCAAGTCATTTCAACCTCGTGTGGGGTCTTAATTGTCAATTACTACAATGATTGAGAAATGGGCGGGGAGGGTGCGAAACGAATGTTTTCTTGCAATTAAGTATTATATTTAAGAAAATAAACTTCTGGGCCATTCACTCTTTCTTTGCGATGTCTTTATTCAAAATTATTCCATGAAATTTAGTATTGATAATTACAGGCCAAAGCTAAACAGTAGAGTTACACAGACTAATCCCAGAGGAGGATTATGTTGGTTTTATTCCTTCAGTTCCTGCTTCCTCAAACGCCTTTTTCCTTGTCTGGGGCTAAGCTTTACAAGATTAGGAACTTTCTCACGAATTTTCACTCCAGGTGAGGAAGAATGGATAATGTTCTCTGTTGGGCTGGAGGGTTGGCCCCAGCATGGCTCTCTGCATTGTTAAATCCTGAGGAATGAAGTGTGGCACATGACATCATCAGTGACTTTGTTTACTCTCCATGCACACACTGTGCTGGAGTAACTGGAGAAAGAGATTTGTGGGCTTGGGCAAGTGCTGGAAAATGGCTTGCCAGAAAGGAGACTGCCAGACAGTCTGCCCTAATACTCTCTGGGTCAGTCGGCCCCAGTCATTTTGTAGGGCACATGGATTGGCAAACTCTTAAGAGCCAGGTGTAGAATAAGATATGTTCCATTGACTATTTAGTCTGAATGACCTTTATCCAGGTTAATTATGACCTCTGTGGTCACTACACTGGCAGAATTAAGTTTAACTAACATCAGTACAGTGCTTTATAATTTACGAAGCACTTCCATGTAGTGTCTAGAGCTAAATAAGATTCCCAAAGATCTGACCAAATTCAAACTTGCCTTTTGGACAGGTCTCTGTTTTTTCAGCCCCATCTGCCCCTCCGTGTAGTGGGGTTGGCTGGTGCTCATGGAAGTGATATTGCTCATACCCAAGGAAGCTTCTATGTCACTGTGGGGGAAGAGGGAGAATCCTCCTCTGCCCTTTCCTTTAAGGTTCTTATGGCTGGCCAAATAATTAACAAGACAGGTTAGCAGGAGAAAATAATACCAAGTTTAATAACATGTATACATGGGAGAAAGCAGGGACACTGCATTTCTCAACACAATAGCAGAAATTCTCATCTTAAATACCATGTTCAGCCAATGACAAAGGAGGATGTTGGGGGTGGGGGGAGTCAGTTACAGGAGATTACCACTAAAGCACAGTAAACAAGAGTAAGGTTATTATGCAGATTTAAGGCCTCACCTTTCACATTGATAAGCCTCTAGAAATGAGGCCATCCCCCCCTTCCCAAAACAGAGAGGGAGACACCTTTACAAATGGAGATTTCCCTTATAAATGTAAATGATTGTCTGGCAACTCCTCACAGGGCCATCCAGAGAATGTGGCCAGAGAGACAGAACTTCTGATAAGATGGGCGTGTTGGTGCCTTTCCTATTGTAACATTTATCCTACCTTATCTTTACAGCCATCATGATAGATCTGTTCCAGGAAGGAGCCACCATGTCAAATTCTTTAGGCAGTTAGTGGGGGAGGTCAAATATCCCTCAGAGAAAACAACCAAGGTAAAGAGATATATTTTAGGATGGTCAAATCTTGATCTCCCACGTCACCTTCCACATCAATGTCATGACTTGTCCAGAACAATTTAAGGCACAATTAGATGCTCAACAAATATTCATTTAATGATTAAAATAGGTTAGCCCAAGAATGATAGTTGGCATCAGAAGACATATACCATTGAGTTCTAACTCTGACACTTTATCATGTGTGCCCTCGGGCAGGAATGGGAGTTGTTCCCCTCATTGCCAAAATGGGGCTAGTGATCTCCACCTCTCTGGGTTGTGGAAGCGGGTAGGAAAACACCAGGCATGGACGTGGTACTCAGTCAATGACATTGCCCGAAGGAAAGAACAGGCTAAAGCAGTGTGTGAATGGTGGTTGTAGGTCCACACATCCTAATGCCACCAAGGTCACTGACAGTTTCAAGGTTCTCAGCTCCTTACTGCCCTTCTCAACAGTATGCTCTGCCTTCATGCATCCCCAGCCTTTTGCCCTTCAACTCTAAATGGTGGTGGCTGTGAGGAAAGGTTTGAAAGGGCAAAACTTCCCTCTGCCCCTTGCCTAGACCCCTCCTCTTTCAGAAATCCCCCGGCCTTCCTGAGAACAACATATTAGATTCTCCCAGTGTTTGGCAGCCTCTTGGTGTCTCAATGAGAGGTGTAATTTCCCCTTTAAAAAGGGATGGGGTGAAGGGCTGCTGAGAAAGGGGTGTGACCTGGATGTCACTCACTTGCTCAGGATGCAGGGTTGTTCCTTAAAGAATCCTGTTCATAGAACTGAGCTGAAAGGGGAGGAAGAGACCAGGGGCCAGGATTCTTGGGAAGGTAAGTCCAGAAGCCCCAAGAGGCTATCAGTGGTCCAACTTCTGTGTGAGATTTGGCTGTTGGCTGTTGTAAGGGGGAACGAAAAGCCTGAAACTGGAAAGCTTTCCCAGAAATATGCAGAGGTAAGAAACTCAGACAGGCAACATGGATCTGGGTGTATTTTTCCTGCTCTGGGGGGTGGGGGATTGACCATTAGTGCTTGGCTGAAGGCAAATGGAATATGAAAATTTCCTTCTTCTTACTGATGATATTGCAAAACAAATTACATCTCACACACACACACACACAAGTTCCATTTTGAAAAGCTCTACGGTGGCCCAATTATTTCTGGCTAAAAAATTCAGTATAGGAAAATGCAATAGAATAAAATGTCCATCAGTCCGTTAGAATTTGTTTTAATGAAGCTTGAACTCCATCCGAGCCTTTGAGTTTCTGAGTAAATCTCAGTATGTCAGTTCTTATTAGATTTTTTGAAGGTAGTTCATGGTTTACTTTCCCATTGTCGTTTTTAAGGAAGGTGAGGGATGTGAAGCATTCTTCCTCACGTTATTCCCTATTTTCCTGAATTGGTCTGACTGATCGATCCATCTATCCATCCATTGTCCTCTTCCTAGGTTAGAAGGGATTTAGAATGACTTAGGGAACCGAAGAACAGAAGATGCCAACTCAGCTTTTCCAACATTCCATTTCAGAGTCGAGATTACAAGCCCTATCTTTCAGTAACGTTCCTCACATCCATCTCTGTGAAACGTTTTGTCTTCTTTATGAAAACTTTTCTTTATGAAACTTTTGGCTGAAACTCTAGAAAATACTAAGCAAATACTTTCCATATCTACTAACTTGGAGTTAGTGTTTGAGTGTCCTCTTAATGACTTGGAACATAAGCCCCTTTACAATGCACAGATGTAAATTCCAAAATCCTGATAACCTATCAACACCTCTGTGCCCCCCACCTCTGTGTTCCCATCAAAGGAATCCTATTGTTGAAGACCCTGTATAACCTAATAGGGCAGGAACGAGAACTTTTTCTGTTGCAGGTGTCGGGGGAAGAGGGAGAATCTCCCTCTGCCCTTTCCCTTAAGGTTCTTCTGGCTGGCCAAATAATCAACAAGACAGGTTAGCAGGAGAAAATAATACCAAGTTTAATAACATGTATACATGGGAGAAAGCAGGGACACTGCGTTTCTCAACACAATAGCAGAAATTCTCGTCTTAAATATCTTTTTCAGCCAATGACAAAGGAGGATTTTGGGGGTGGGGGGAGTCAGTTACAGGAGATTACCACTAAAGCACAGTAAACAAGAGTAAGGTTTATTATGTAGCTCAAGGCCTCACCTTCCACATTGATAAGTCACTAGCAATGAGCTCATCCCCCTCTCTTCTCCAAACAGAGAGGGAGATACCTTTACAAATGGAGATTTCCCTTATAAATGTAAATGATTGTCTGGCAACTCTTCGCAGGGTCATCCAGAGAATGTGGCCAGAGAGACAGAACTTCTGATAAGAGGGGCGTGTTGGTGCCTTTCCTATTGTAACATTTACCCTACGTTATCTTTACAGCCATCATGATAGATCTGTTCCAGGAAGGAGCCACCATGTCAAATTCTTTAGGCAGTTAGTGGGGGAGGTCAAATGTCCTCAGAGAAAACAACCAAGGTAAAGAGATAGATTTCAGGGTGGCCAAATCTTGATCTCCCACACAGGTAACTTGTACATTTGTTTCTTCCGTCCTTTGGCAACCTCCCCTGACATTGGGAACCCACCCAGGCCTTGGCCATCTTCAAGGGCTGGGCGTTAGAAAGGTTAATGTTGCAGTCGGTGACACTGAACACTGCGTTGGTGGCTGGGCAAAGGCCAGTCTTGCTCCTCTGAGTGCAGTTAGAGTGAGTCACACATCACTGTCATCCCTTTTCTCCACCCCCACCTCACCCCTGCACCAACTAGGCCAATCCAAACTGAAGTTTGGAAGGTTTTTCTTCCTCTAAAATATACTGATTTTGCAATGTAAAGCAATGTAGAACAACAGGAGCATTTTTAGTGAAAATTATTCATTTTGTTGCGCCTTTCATAAGTAAGATGAGGTTCTGGTTTGGATGGATAGAGGTGTTATATGTCTGGTTGGATTTATCTGGTCTGAGTTCTTATAGGCATGTAGCACAGGTGAGAGTTTCCTAACAGCACTTAAGTTTACCCTTGAAATAAAATCCATCCATTTCAGAAAACAAGTAACTTTTTTTCCATTTGGTTAGTTTTTCATTTGAGCCCAAGGTGTTCTAATGTTAGCAGGATATTAGTAAGAAATGCCTTTGAAGAGATAAACATTTGATAACTCCAAAGATACTTAAAAACTTAGCCTGAGTGTATTTGATTTGTGATTATGGTGAAATTTTAGAAATTTAGTTGGTACCTTTATTCAGAGATGAGAAACAGTACTACCATGAAAGCTTATGTTGCACGGGGCACTATGCCATATTATACAAACACCGTCTCCTTTAATCCTCATAGCACACTTAAGAGGAAGTTCACCAGTCAAGAATTGCATACACCTGGTAGGTCTGAGTGCCGTGGTGTTTACAATCCGTCACAGCCAGTCACAGATTTCTTTGTTCCTTCTCCACTCCACTCTTCACTTGACTAGCCTAAAAAAAAAAAAAAAGAATTGCACACAACTGCAAGTACCAGAGACCAGAAATAACAGTGTCTTAAACAAGAGAGAGCTTTATTTTTTTCCCATGTAAGTGGCATCTGGAGATAAGCAGCCCGAGGCTGTATGAGAGCTCCACATACAAGGTCCCAGGCTCTTTCTAGCTTCTGCTCTGCCAGACTGAACCCAAAGTCTCTGTCTTCACATTTCTGTCATGACCCACGACGCCTGCTGAAGCACCAGCCATCAGGTCTCTGATCCAGGGAGGAGTCAGGAGGGAGAGGAAGAGGGGCAAAGGAGGGCTTTCTCAGAAGCCCCCGCAACAACCCTCACCTACACCTCAGCTGCCATCCTCCTCAACAAGGTACCAGGGAAGACTCATTACTGTGAAGGCTGCAAGCTATTTCTCCCACAGGTGGCTAGTATTATTTTTATTTTCAGATGAGAAAACTGAGCTAGAAGAGAGGGAATCAGTTCAATCTCAGTCTCACTATGACTACTGACTTCTCTCCCTCCCTCCCACTTCTTCACTCCCTTCCTTCCTTCTTCTCTCCCTCCCACTGTCTTTTCTTCCTTCTTTCCTTCTTATGTTTGTTAATTTAGTAGGTATAAAATGATACCTAAAGATTATTTATTACTGTAATTTTGTCAGTTATTACAGATGAACAATTTTCTAGTTTTGTTTACAATTTATATATCCTCTTGTGAATTGCTTGTTCATATAATTGGCATGTTAATCTATGAAGATCTTAATTTTTTTCTTGTAATTTGTGGTTTATATCTACTACAGATATTTACTGAGTGCATGTATATATAAAATATGTATATATATTTGCAAATAGTTTTTCTTCTTTTAATTTTTGAAATTGTGCTAAAATGCACACAACATAAAATTTATCATTGTACCAATTTTAAAGTGGAAAATTCAGTGGCATTTAGTTGTACGATTTAGTTGCACAATGTTGTGCAACCACCCCCACTATCGACAGGGCCTCCTGTGACAGGCCACCTCGAGGACTTCTGGCCAATGATTTGATCGTCTCTGGGTCAAGCACCCACCGCTGGCCCATAGGTCACGGCCAGTGATGAGGGCAGGTGGGGGCAGGTGCCCCAGGCCCGCCTGGGACAGCGACCTAGGGAGCATTGTGAGCAACTGCACATTGGTTCATTTTTTCCAAAAAGAATTTTTATGGTAAAAGAAATAGCCTTTCTAAAATTTCAAACTCTGCAGAAAAGTACAAAGAAGAAAGAAAGGAAAAAACAACCTAAATTCTCCCTGCCACAGGTAATTCTTTCCTCCCCTTCTCCTGGCCAGCCCCTCATTGTCCTTCAGGTCTCCATTGAGACGCACCTGCAGCAGCCTCCCCAGGTCTCAGGACTGGTAAGGGACCAGTTAGAGAGGGCCAGTTAGACCTTGTGTCGACAGAGTAGCCTCCCCGTAACTCTGAGACCACTTGTTCCCACTTGAAAATGGGCCTTTATTCCCCACTGGACTGTAAGCTCTTTGGGGGCAGGAACCCTTTTCATCATATTTTGTTGTCTGATATAGTAATAGTGCTCCACAAATATTTGTTGAAAGACAAAACACAGTTTTGGACAACATCTCCCCTGAAATCTCTATGTAGGTATGTATTAAACTGAACTTTAAAAAATTGGGATCATTATATACATACATATACATTATGGATACATATACATTATATATACATGCATATTGGAAAATGCTTTTTAACACTATATAGACTTTCACTCAAGAGCTTTTAAATGGCACTGTTACAGGAATATCTTATTATTCGTTTAGCCACTTCTCTACTGGTGGGCAGTTAGGTTGTAACCAATTCTTTTGTTATTGTTGTTAAAAGAAAAGTGTGGTGGCCTTTCTTACACCTGTATCTTTGTCCACCTTTGACTACCTCATCAGGATGAATCCTAGGAGTGAAATTGCCTAACTAACATCATTTCGTCTTTGCCTAATTGCCTTCTAGAAAGGCTAAGGCATGTACACTCCCATCAATAGCTTCAGTGCCTGTTTCCCTTACACTGGGTATAATCAATCTTTAAGATTTTTGCAAATCTTATAGAGGAAAATGATAACTCATTTTAATTTGAAGGCATGGTAACAAGTTAGGTTGAACATAATTTCATAGATTTATCAGCCACTGTATTTATTCTTTTGCGTTGGTCCATCATGTCCTGACCCCTCTGTCATTTTCTTCCTGACCTCAAGAGTTTTTGTTAAACACATATGTTTCAGATATTCTGGTTTTTGTTTACATTTATTTATATTTATAATTTTTAAATTGAAGTAATAAGTACACATGGCAAGAAATCAAATTGTCAGATGGGTTTATAACAG